ACAGAGCGAGTCGAACATCGCACCACAGGGGAGCGTGCCTCACACATAGGGTAATTAGGCTCCCAAGAGGACCCCCATAGAGCCAAAACGGAGCCAAGCCGACTTGTTCCACCTACCGTTCGACGACCCATACAACACACGTTCCCGCCCTCCCCGCGCCCCCGAGAGGCATCCAAGGCGGCTGTCGCACTGCATGTTTCTACGCTGCCCTCATCAAGGCAACTCACCTGGCGATCGTGTCTGGACGGGTTGGTGGTGATACTTTTCCGGTCGCGTCCGCTAGCGAAAGCGCAGGCGGAGACAGAAGCTGTCCGGGGCACAGAAACATACCTAATTAGCTGCTAGGCGCGAAACGGGCCGGCCGGGCCAGCTCACAAGGCAGCTGCTGGGCCGCTCGGCGAGGGCTGACTGGCTGAGGGCACCCAGGGAAGCTCGGGCAACGTGCAGTCCTGAGCAAAATGCCAGGGAATTCGATGTGCGCTCTGCGGCGTGAACCACACAGTGAAAGCGAGAACGTAAGCGAGCTGATGCCCACACCCCTCATACGCCTGGTGGTCGCAAAGGCGAGGTGAACGATGAACGAGTCGCCAGCGGGGTGCCAAGTCCAGGTCCGTACCACCGGTGTATATAATCCAGGTGGGCTAAGCAACCGAGGTGACGTCATAGACCTGCTTGAATGGCTGGGGCGGATCCAGGGGAAGCGCAGCGTGAGACGGAAGGCTGAACCACTCCGAAGTGACCGCGGGGCTCCCAGGGCCCACCATCCCGTGCAAGTGGGGGGCCGGCCCCGTGGCGAACCCTGAGGGCATGGCCCCAGTCACCCGCCTGTCAAAACGTGGTAGGGCGTCGCACTGAGTGTGACAGGCCAAGCCGGCGGGGATGAACATCGCCACCGTGGCAGAAAAGAGTACCAGGGAGGAGCCGCTTCAGAGGACGATCACCCCCGTTGATCCGGGGGCACGTAAATCCGGCAGCCCGCCCTGCCCGGGAGGGACATGAGGGGGGGGCGGCGGGGGCAGACATCACCAGCCATCCACGCGGAGGGACGCACCAGGGGTACCTGGCGATGGAGGGGGACAGAGGGAGGGCCAAAGCCTGGGCCCTAACTCCAGGGATGCAGCTAACGGCTGCTCAGGGTTCGGTAGAAGACGGAGCGTCCACGGAGGTGGCGATTAGAGGGCAAATCATCCCCAGGGTAGGCGCAGCCTGCTATGGGTCTGTTGCAGCCGGTACCGTCGGCCCGCCAGCATTGCAAGTCGCGCAGCGCCTGCCAGCGCGCCGAGGTTACCAGGGGTGCAGCCTGCTCAGAAATTAAATGGTCCAGGGGGGGCCGTATCTGCCGCAGCGAGAGTGGGCAGCCTCTCAATGGCTGTCACGCCTTTCCGTCTCAGAGCGCACGACTGCAACGGCACGGAGCTGATTTCTCTTGCTACGCGGCCGCCCTGTCCCAGGGGCAGACTGATCCCACCATGCGCCTGTGGCGCGACAAAACTGGGACCCGCACTGGGCCTTACCCGTGCATGCATCCTGTCTGGAGGGAGGGGTAGCTGGGACGGCGCCTCTCCTGTCACGGGGGCCGCGGGGGCCGTCTGCCATCTCTGGGCAGCCGCTTCCAGGGTGGCCGAGGCCTCTACAGACGTGAGTCAGTCGTGACTCAGGTGCGCAAGGGGGGGGGGTGAGATGCGTCGGGCGCCCGAGGGGGAGAGCCCCGACGGTGCGCCCGAAAAGGTAGCGGGTGTGCTGCGGGGTGTGCGCTGCCCACGCGCCTCTAACCAGCGGAGGCTGTCTAGCTAGGCTGCGCCAGGGTGTGGGGGGAGCCCCCGCCCCGGGTATTACGGCCTGGGCCGGGCGCAGCGAGGTGAAACGGGCCCAGTCGGGGCCAACGTGGATGGCAGGCGGTGGTGGGGTGAACCCGGAGCCGACGCCGAGGTGGCGGGCGCCCCTGGACGGTGTGTGCGAATGCCTGCGTCCGCCACGGCCTGCTGTCCGATGGCGGCAGCCAGTCATCCTTAGGCTGCGGGCTGGTGGTGATATTTTATTTTTGGTTGGCGGCTCCAAGACAGAGGTCATCAAGCGGGATTAACGGCTGGGGCGCAGGCAGCAGATAATTGGCCAAAGCGGCACGAAAGCCGCGGAGGCGGGTGCACGCGCAAGGGACCACAGGACCCTCATTAAAGGGAATGCAAAGGACAAAATGACCCTAATTGAGCACCGAAACCGTCACCGACAACCCGGCGGGTGGAGACGCCACTCCGCTACGCGCAGTGATAACTGCGGCCAGCGTGGAGCGAGCGTCTGCAACGGCTGTACGGCCAGGTACAGTAGCAGCGCGGATAAGTCGCCCTGTCGGCGCCAATCTCCGCCTGTACGACGCACAAGAGCGAGGCTGAGAGAGGGGCAAGCGAGCCGCGGCGGACGCCAGCAGGGGGCCCAAGCGACAGGGAGAGAAGGAAAAGCGGCACGGAGAGGGGCCTCACTCACCATGGCTCACTGTCGCTGTGCTGGGTGTGCCCGCCCTCGGACACGGGACGAGGGGCGACCCAGTCAGTGAAGACGAGATAACGCCACTACCAGCCTGTGACCCCTGCGTACACAAAGTATCCGGCTCTCAAGGTCCGGGGGCACAACGTTGCGAGCGCTGACAGAGGCAGATGCGACACAGGAAGGGGGGAACGGTCATGACCTGCAGAAGGATGAACCACTCGTGCAAGACCATTCCCTAGTGTGGCCCGTCGTCAGGTAGCACCGGGAGTGAGGCTAGGGACACGCCAGTCTCCACCTCACCCGAAGCCAAAACGACGTCCTTGTGGTAGCGCCATGACCAGGTCCACGTAGATCAGGGCGATACGCAGTTGGGGGTGGCATTGCCTGCCGCTGAGCGCGGTGTCCACAGGGAAGGGCTGACCCCACACCATTGCAGCATCACGACAGCGTACGCAGGCTAGCAGCCAGCCGATAGCCGGTAACCACATCATAACCGGCCCGCGGAGTCCAGGGGCCCACCGATGTGACGTCCTGGTGGGGGCAGGGCGCGTGGCTGCGCCGGGAAGAGCAACCACCTGTCCGCTGGGGGCTGCACCACGCGATACACGCCGCTCGTACGGCGTGGTGCCTGGTATCACTCCCATTCCATCAACCACGATGTCCCTGCGCAGAACGGGTGCAATCGTGGCAGAGGTAGGCAGACTGTGACAGAAGCCTGCCACAGGTCAGTGTGCTGCCCTGCTGGGTTGGTCGACTCTGTCTGCTCCCAGATCACAGTGTCCTCTCACAACGCAGGGGGCGCAGCCAAGAGCCGCAGAGATTTGTGAATGAACGTGGGGGTGCATCCAGATGCCGCTGGGCACCGGTGCTGCGCTCAAGCATCCACGCATGGCCCGAACCCAGGCGGAAGCACTTGAACGGACACAGCACACTTCACGGGGGGGCGCAGCCAAAAGCCGCAGAGACTGGTGAATGAAGGGCGGGAGGAGGAGAAGGAGGAGGAGGAGGAGAGGAGGGGGAGCCACCACAGCCCAGGGCGCTGGGGGTGTGCCCAGTCTCCTGCAACGCAGTGATCGGATCAACCTCGGCGAACAGAATGGGGGGCGCAGCCAAGAGCCGCAGAGACCATGTGAATGAGTCCGATGGGGGGCGCAGCCAAAAGCCGCAGAGACCTTGTGAATGATGAGATTAGGGGGCGCAGCCAGTGGCCGCTGAACACTGTAGGCGACCCTGCTTGTCCACGCGAGGAGCTTCCACATCACATGGGCCAGTGAGAGATCGCGGGTGGAGCGGTGCTTCGACCCTCACCTGCTGTCGTACAATATGCTATTGAAAGAGGTGGAGCGCTGGAGGTGGGTTATTTCAGCCACCAGTCCCTGTCGTCCAAACAGGGACTACTGGTGGTGATACGCGAAGCCTCAAGAATTAGGCTCAGGGGGGGGCGTTTGGTTCGAGGTTGAATGTTTTCGGGCATGTTCGCAGGCTGTTTTCCAGCCTCGGGATGCGTTCCGGCGGCTGCGCCTCGCCGAGGGCGTTGTGGGGGTGGTCAGATCGTCCCGAACTGCCGCCAGAGGCCCGAATGATGACCCGGAAGCCAGACGACGAGGATCAACTGGGAGGGGGATTGGGAGAGGGCCCCGACTCCGGCGCCGCCTTCCTTTGGGCGATGTCCTAAGCAGGGCGAAAATGTTTGCCCTACTTTTTAAGGCCCCTTTGATGTCGATTTCCACCCATGTAGCCATCGCTATTTCCGCCACACCTCTGCTGAAATAGACCCCTATTTTCTAAGGCGGAAATATGATACCAGAGAAAAACCCCAAGCATAATCTTTTTAGGGCTGTACAGCTATAGGGCTACAGGGTTACATGGGCTCTTGGGCGCTATATGGGCTATATGGCTATATGGGTTATAGGGCTGTAGGGCTATAGAGCAATAGGGATATAAGGCTATAACGCTATAGGGCTACAGGGCACCGGGCACCCGGGCACCCGGCACCCGGGCACCCACCTGGGCACCGCGGGCACCCGTCACCCGGGCACCCACCTGGGTACCGCGGGCACCCGTCACCCGGGCACCCGGGCACCCGGGCATCCGGGCACCCGTGCCCGGCCACCGAATCGGCGGCGAACCCGGGCACCCGGGCACCCGGGCCCGGCCACCGAATCGGCGGCGAACCCGGGCACCCGGGCACCCGGGCACCCGGGCCCGGCCACCGAATCGGCGGCAAACCTCACCTACCTTTCAATCCGCTAGGACCCCTACAGAGGCAAGCTCTGATTGGGGAATATGCCGTACTTTTCACGTCGTTTGGGATGCACTTCCGAACACAATCTTCGGGAACGTCAAACACGATCAGGAACGAAAGTGGTCAAGAGCTCCCGGGGACTCCCTGTTCAAAAATCTAGACATGGGAAGCCTGGGGGGGCGGCTCACTCAGCCTCTGGAGCGTGGTTCGGAGGTCCACGGTGGGCGAGAGCGTGGCCTCTGAGACCACTGGAACCGGGGGAATCGCGCTTGCTCGAGGCGGTATCGCCAACTTCTCTGCTTCTCTTCCTCATGCCCCTTCTGCAAAGATCAGTCGATTGTGATTCCACTTCAGTCGGGGGCCCGCGTCGGTAACCACGTGGCACCGCCCGCCACACTCCGGAGAGATCGCCCTGATCCGCTTTTTGGCTGCGGAGTGGAGCTCTTTGTCCAGCATGGCGGTGGGCACGAGGCAAGAGTTTCTGTTGGCCTCGACGGCAGCGCCAAACAGGAGCCTTGTCCGAGGCGGCCTCGTCAGCTGCACCCGTGGGAAGAGCGGCGCGCAGGCGAGCCCGACGGCACCGACGGCCACACACTGAAGGGGCGTAGAGAACGCTCGAGAACCCGTGGAGGAGGAGAAGGAGGAGAAGGAGGAGGAGGAGGAGGCGGAGGATCGAGAAGCATTGAGGAGGAGGATCGAGAAGCATCGAGGAGGAGGAGGAGGAGGAGGAGGAGGAGGAGGAGGGAGGAGGAGGAGGAGGCGCGCGCGACTCCAGCGTTCACGCTTCGCTCCGCTCCGCCCCGTGCCGCCTGCGGCCCCAGAGGCCGCCCGCCGCGTGGCCGCAGCCTCCCTGGCGTTGGCCCGCGGGGCCCGCCTTCCCCAGGGGCCTGCCCTGCAGGCTCGGTCCGCAGCCCTCCTCCTCCTCCTCCTCTTCCTCCTCCTCCTCCTCCTCCTCCTCTTCCTCCTCCTCCTCCTCCTCGATGCTTCTCGATCCTCCGCCTCCTCCGCCTCCTCCTCCTCCTCTTTCCACCTCCTCCTCCTCCTCCTCCTCGATGCTTCTCGATCCTCCTCCTCCCTCCTCCCCTCGATGCTTCTCGATCCTCCTCCTCCTCCTCCTCCTCCTCCTCCTCCTCCTCCTCCTCGTCGTCTGCCTCCTCCTCCTCCTCCTCCTCCTCCTCGCTCGCCCGTGCCTAGCTGGGCATGGCGTGGAGGCCGCGGCCTCGAAGGTGTGAGCTTCGCGCCTGCCCGTCTGCTTCGGCGAGGCGCGCCTGCCGAGGAAGAACGCGCGTGGCCTGGCGCGTAGCCTTGTGGAGCTAGAGGAATGACAAGACTGCATTTCGTCGGAAGGATTAAAAAGGACTAGGGCGGTTACGCCGGAGTGGGCCTCGGACTAAGCCGGATTAAGCGGGATTACATGGAATTAAATGGGATTAAGCGGGATCAAGCCGGATTTCGGACCAGGGGAAGATCAGAATTTGACTTCCCAGGAATTGCATCCGAACGTACGCGCAAAGAGTTGGAGGTCCGCGCGGATTTCTCAGATCGCTGGGCCCCTTTCCCTGGCGCGCGGAGCGCGCCAGGGGCGGCGCCAGAGGCGCCGCCAAGCGGTCCCGGGCGCCGATCCGAGAATTCCGCGCGGACCTGAGAAAGCTGATGCTTGTGCATCTCTGCTCCCCGAGGAACGTGTCCGCAGCCTCGAGGAGGGCCGACATCGGGGGCCCGCAAACAATGGATTAGCGATCCGTGGATTTGGCGCGCAGTAGCCAAACCCATGGATCGGGGGAGGTGCCCTCCCCAAAATGCGGCCAGGGCCGCCTGGCTCGGCGGCGGAAATGCGCGATTTCCCATGGAAACGGGACCCGTCGCTAACCCACGCTCCCTTCATCCATGTTTGCGATCGCCTGACGAAGAGGGGGACCGCTGTTGCCCCGACGGGCCCTCCCCCCGAGAGGGGGCCCCGCGGCCGCCGGCCGTCGGCCGGGCGGTGGACGGCGCCCCTCTGCGCCCGCCAGCCTGGGCCCCCCCAGGTGGGCCGAAGACCTCCGGCAGAGCACCCTGAAGTCGGACTCGACGGGGCAGGACACGCGAGGAGGACACGAGACCCTCAGGGGACCACATGCGAACCTTGGCCCTACCCCGCCCTCCCCCTCAGAAGTCGTGGGGGGCACAATCGGACTTTATTGGATTGGAGAGGACACCCGAGAGGACACAAGACCCTTCCGAGGGCCACGTTGCCACAGAAATGCAGGAGGCATGGGTCGCAAGACACAGGACACGAGGGTACCCTTGATCTGGCAGGGTCGACCTACTAATCCGGGCCGCCTGTAGAGGTAGGGTTCGCAGGTGGTCCCCTAACCCTTCCGAGGGCCACATTGCCATAGGAATGTAGACGGCAGGGGTCGCGAGACACGGGACGCAAGGGCGCCCTTGATTTGGCAGGGTTGACCTGCAGCAATCCGGGCAGACTGTAATGGCAACCAGGGTGGAGAGGTGGGTCGAGGCTTCACTCGAGGGGGCAAAAAGCGGCATTAGATAGCATGCTCCGCCGTCGGGGACGCCTGCCCCAAGGCGACTGGAAAGTTTATACCCCCATGGTGGCAGGAACACTGCAACCGTCCAGGCGCAAGCATCCCCGACGGCGGACCAAATTGTGTTACGGTCGGACCTAAGACAGAAGAGCATCCTTCAAGAACATGAAACCCTCCGCCCGCCAAATTAAAGAACGTTCGAGGCGACCCTTCCCAGGATACACGGGAATATCCCAAACACACGCACACACGAAGAACATGGGGGTACCCTTCCGAACATCCCCGACAGCGAACCAGTTTATGTTATACCACGCCGCGCGCCGCGCGGCCCGCAGCGGCCCCAAGGCCGGCGGCGGCGGCGACGGCCGAACTGCCGCGCGGGGGCCGCGCCTGCAGCGGGCCGTCGGGCGGTGCCCTGCTGATCCTGCGGGCGCGCGCCCGCGAAAGGGGGAGGGGGCGGGGCCGCGACGGGAAGAGGGGTGGAAAGGGAAGAAAGCATCTAGGAATGACAGACGCAGCACTGCAGGGAAAACGAACAACAACAACGACAATCATGACCACAAGACAGCAAATTCCGCAAACGCAGCAAGAGGGAACACGCGTAAAACAAAGCCACATATCAAAGGTGGAGACAATACTTACAAACCAAATCAGCCGACGTTTTCTGGTGGAGCAACTTCCGAGACTCTGCGACTTCCAAGAACCAGCACCGCGCTTTGGATAAGCTGGCGCGAAACACACAAGTCCTCGGGGGGAACGTACACCGTTCAACGCGTGACGAACACACGCACACACGCGCGCACACACACGCACACGCGCTTTCTGAAAAAACAGATGCCCGTCGGAAATGCTCAGAACTTCGAGTTGCTACCAGTTCCACGTAACGCGACCCGCATCTAGCTCTTTGCTTGTCACTGGCCCCTTACAAACCTCGTCACAATATCGGAGGTTGGGGGGTGAGATCGCAGTGGAACGGAGACCCCCAGACGGAAAATCGTTTCGTTTCGTTCGTGTCGTGCGTGCGTGCGGGGCGAAGCAGCGTGGGCGCGCGAGACGAATGAACCCGCTGCTGCAAAGGCGAAGTCAAGACAAAAGATGCTCCCCCTCCCGCCCGTCCTGCGGTGGCCCGCGGTGTCCCGTGGTGTCCCCTGGTATCCCGTGGTGTCCGCCGTTACTAGGGCGAAGTCAAGACAAATGAGTCTCCCCCGCCCGCCCCTCCGTCCGTCCGTCCGTCCGTCCGGGGGTGGCTCGCGGTGTCCCGCGGTGTCCCGTGGTGTCCCGTTGAGTGAGATCGATAATGGGATCGATAGTGACATCGATGGTGAGATCGATAGTGAGATCGATAGTGGGATCGATACTGAGATCGATGTGGTGCCCCGAAGCTTCCCGTGGTGTCCCAAAACATGACATCGATAGTGAGATCGACTGTGAGATCGACTGGTGTCGCGCGGTGACCCAAAAAGTGAAATCGATTGTGATATCGAGAATGATATCGATACTGAAATCGATGTGGTGTCCCGTGGTGTCCCAAAAAGTGAGACCGATAGTGATATCCATCGTGGGATCGACAGGTATCCCGTGGTGTCCCGTTGAATGAAATCGATAGTACTATCGATATTGATACCGATAGAGAGATCGATGTGGTATCCCGTGGAGTGAGATCGATAGTGAGATCGATAGTGGGATCGATGTGGTGTCCCGTGGTATCTTATGGTGTCCTGTAGAGTGAGATCGATCGTGAATACGATAGTGAGACCGATAATGAGATCGAGAGGTGTCCCGCGGTGTCCCGTGGTGTCCCGTTGAGTGAGATCGATAGTGAGATCGACAAGTGTCCTGTGGTGTCCCGTTGAGTGGGATCGATAGTGAGATCGATTGAGTCAGATGCTGTTTCCCCCCCTCCCCCCACACACAACCTCCTTATCACCCGAAGGGTGGTCGTATAGGTATTGAAGCGCCGCTCAGATCGAAGCGCCCGACGCCTCGGGCACTTGTCAGAAAACGCGTTCGTCGATGCTGCGCGGTCACTGCCGGATGTCAGACACCCCCACCCATGCGCATGGGCCACGCGCTTTATGTCGCAGCGCGGCAGGGGCAGTCCGCGCGCGAGCGCTCGGGCAAATCGGGAAACGGCGTCGCCAATTATCCGGCAGCGAGAGCGGGGAACAAAAAGGGCGAGGAGGAAGCGGCCGCGGGCGAAGGGGGGGAATGAGAGCGCACGCGCGGCGGGGACCGCTGCGGAGCAGCCGCGGCGGCCACCAGGCGCCGCAGCCCTGGCAGCGGGCGCGGGGCGGCATCGCGGCCGCGCCCAGGGTCTGGGGCAGAGGCAGCAGTGCGCGAAGCGGAAGTGCAGGAGAGCAGAGCCGCGGCATCGATATTCTGGCGCAGCGGAACAGGTGGCGGCGCTCCAGGCGGCAGAATGCGGCGGGACAGGTGCTGGGCGGGCTGCGGTCTTTTAGCCTACGCGGAACAGCAAATGGAAATTGCTCCTCGCTCGAGCCGCCCGCGGAGCCAGAGGAACGCCGACTGCCTGGCACGCGCGGAAGACCCGTTCAGCAGCGAGCTTCCAGAGGAGCTGAAGGACAGCGCCGAATCCGATTATCGGGACACCCCGCGCCTGGACGTCGCCCGCCTCCGCGCCGGGCACAGCAGCAGCGCGCTGCGCCGCCGCGGCGCGGGAAAACATGCGCGCGGGCGCTCCTGCGGTGGAAAGCACGTTTCCGATCTTCCAGATATTGGAGTGGGACTCGCGGGGCGCGTCGATGTTCCCGCCTGCCTCCGCCGAGCGCACGAAACTCCACATCTTGTGGCCCGCCCCGATACATTCGCCTTGTCCCACTTGATGACTTGCGAAATTCGCTGGCCCGCCGGGCCGTAGGCGTGCTATGATCTCCGGTAACTGGTTAACAATATTTCTAGTTCGCGCGCGCGGGGCCGCCCCTGGAGGTCCCCGGGCGAAAAGTGCCCTGGTGAAGTCCTGGCCGCGGCCCAAGACGCCGAAGATGGCCTGCAGACAGCCTGGAGCGCCTTCCAGAAGACTTCCCAAAAAGGCCCGCAGAGGCAGACATTGTGATTTCCCAGCAATTTGTTACAGTTTTTGGCGTTCTTGCCTCTTCGGTTTGCCGGGGCGGTCAGGCGGCCTAGGAGGCTTCCAGGATCGCCCCGGCGCGGCCCGACGGGCCTCCGAGAACGCCCAAAACGGCCCTGGAGGGCCCCAGGACAGCCCCAGAGGCCTCCTAGACGGCCGAAGAGGCTCCCACGGCAGTTCCAAGAGCGGGCCCAGACGGGGGGGCCGAACGGACGCGTCGAACTCTGGGCGCAAAGAGGCGAGGGCCCAAGAAGCTCCCGGGACGCCCCCAAGAGGCCACCGAGAGGCCCCAAGAGACGCCCAAGAGGCCCCCAGGAGGCCCCCGCGACGCCCCGGCCCCAAAAATACCGACAAGAGGCCTGAGAAGGAGCTCCAAGAGGCCCCCAAACGGCCTCCAAAAGACCACGAACGCGCGGACAAACGCCCGCGATGGCACAATACGGGCTGGCGGAACGAGCGAAGCGATTCAATGAGACATTACACTTGGGCTGAAGATCGACGCGATCGCGGAGCGCAGGCTAGCGGCCAAAGCGTCCACCTCTTTCTTCCTCGTGAAATCACAAATCATATTGACTGTCGTTCGGCTTGTCAGGGTCAATATCCATAGCTACGTTGTCGACAAAGCTGATCTTCGCGTCGCCGTGCTGAAGGTTCCAACTGTATGTAGGCTTGCCTGCGCTGCCCTCGTCGACCCCCTTGCCGGCGTCGACGCCGTCGCGGACAGTGGCCCGGCGCGCGGTCACAGAAAATCGCAAACTAGCACAGGTGGTGCCGCTCAAACATCGGCTGGCTCGTCAAGCTGAACTCCAAGAGTATGAAATTCGCAATCGCGAGCCGAGTAGCCGCGGTCGTCGCCATCCGATTGCGGCGCTCGCCATCGTAGGACGCCCTGGCCACAGCGAGCGCGACCGCGCCAGGCGCGGCAAAATCGCCGGCAGCCGCCGCGCCGTATCCCCCTGGCCCGTTCTCGCCGCTCCTGTCCGTGAGATCGATATCCTCGTCGGCGCCGGCGCTGACCGTCGGGGACACGCTAGCAGAGATGACCATCGAGATCACCACGATGGCGCAGCGCTTCGACGCCCCCCTGCTTCGCGACGCGGCCGCGCCTCGCCGTGGCGACGCAGACGGCGCGCGCGGGAAAAAGCAGGCTGCGGGCAGCAATGGCAAAACCAGCAAAGCCACAAATGGCAAAAGCGCTGACCGGGCGGTCGGATCTTGAGCTGCGGGGCTACGGTCATCGCGCGGGCCACGCACCTCGCGCCGGCGCTGGGGTCGCGACGACCGCGCGCGCGCCGACAACAGAAACCGTCAATTTAATGATGACGAGTCTTGTGGGACCCTCGCTCGCGGCAGGCCCCTCCCCCTCCCCCCCCCTCCTCGCCCCCCCCCTCCTGCGGTCGTGCCGATCGAGCGGGTTCGGTTGCTCTAAACTGCTGCCACTGCTACTGCTACTGCCATTGCTCCTACCCCGGCTGCCACTGCCGCTGCTCGGCTGGCGGCGGCGCGGGGGGCCCGCGCAAAGCTCGCGCCCGGGGCTTCGCGGGCGCGCGCGATCCGAGAGCAGGGCGACGGTGGTGGAGAGAGCGGGGGCAAGGCAACGGCGTCGGCAGCGTCGAAAGGGCGGACGGGCTGGGGACAGGCCAGACAGTAGAGCCGGTTTGGCGCGACCGTAGAACGGAAATTCCGGCGGGGGGGAGGGGCGAGAAAAACGAGCCTGTGAATAGGGCGCTGGGCGGAGCTGGATTGCTGGAGCAGGCGCCCGAGCATGTGCTGAACGCGAGGACAACGCGTATAATGCGACTGCTTATCTTCATCCACTCATCCGGAAATGCATCTGACATTCTTTTCGAAGCGAGAGCCTGAGCACCGAACTCCCATCCAGGTCTCGCAGAACAAAATCCCCCGGCCGGGGGGGGCAGAGCAGGGTCGCCCCTTGGACGCGCGGCCGCGGCGCTCTCGCCACGGCAGATCCGCTCTGAGGATGCAAGCGGAAGGGCCGAGCGGAGAAGGACCGACAAAGAGAGGGGGGGGAGAGGTGAAAGGACGAAAAGTCATGCGTAGCTCGCTATACAAGCCTCGAATGGCCACTTCAACGGCGACGCCCCCAGCTCTCTCCCAGCGGGGAAAGGGTGGAAATCCGCAGGCGGCATCCCGG